GAACAGGGTAACATGCAACAATATTTGTACTATTTGATAAGGGACAACATTACTCCAGAATAGTGCAAAGGTTATTTGTTTAATTCTGATGTGATATAACAACTGAGTTGCAACACATATATGGAGAAGTAATGTTAATTTCTTTAACTACTTAAGGAAGTCTGAGCCAGTCAGTGCAGTTATCTCAGCAGAATTTAGATTTTCTATGGTGTTAGCAGTCACCTCTCTCATTGTTCAAGCACGCAAACTTCTGTATTCTGCAACTTATTATTATTATCTTCATAACTGCAGACGGATACTCAGCCTTATGGTGAACTGCACGCAGTGTGACAGTGATGGAGGGACTAAACAACAATCAAGTAATTCCTCTAGTCTGTGACCCAAAATGCTCTTCAAAGCTAGAATATCTGAGGAAAAAAGGGGAGAACATCTAAATACAGCACTATTAGTAGCCTCTTCTATGTCAGACTGATAGATTTTAAATGGCTTCCAGGAGGGCACTACTTTCATATTTCAGCTGTCTTCTCATTATTGTTAGACCTGGAAGCTCAGTACTAGATGATGGAAATATTTGTACAGTTAAACATCAGGAGAGAGCTGAGGCAATAAACACACACGTCAGGAAACTGTCTGAATGGGGAGTTCACTTCAGACAAAAATCTCCCTTCAAGCCATAAAATGCAAGACTGCCTAGATCCATCCTTTTATAACTTTCTCTTATCTGTCATACCAGTAATTTGGCTTGTCATTCCCTTGGCAGGATTTGAAGCAGGTTTAGATGCCTGCTCTCCATCCTCACATAAACACAACATGTGCAGAACTGTTAATGACAATTAGATTTTAGAAGCCTGCTGTGGGAAATCTCATACTGAAGCTTAGTGAATATTATAACCACCTCACTTGCCAATATCCCTCCCTCAGCAGGAATTTATGAAGAAAAAAACAACTTTGTTTGCATATTCACTGGCTCCTAGAAGCTGTTGATGAATAAGGAGAAGGTCTTTTGTGTCTCTTGAGACTACTGTACTTCCCTGAGTCACAGAAATATGAGAATCTTAGTTTACTGGCTCATAATTACCACATTATAGCACTTTTTATCCAATAAGTTTATTGAAGTATTTCCAAAATGCCTCACTGATAGGTTTTTCCAAAATCTTCCTCTTCTGATGGTTAATTACTCTTTTTTTGTTTTGTTTTGTTTTTTAGCTTGAATTTCATAATGAGCAACAGATAATAATTTTTTCTGCTGCATATCCGTTCCTTAATCATTGCTCACCTCCCTAGTGTAGACACAGCTGTATATTTATATCTCTCTCTTTTTTATGAACAGCAACTATATACCATTCCAGCCTTCATTCTGCTAAACAAGCCAAAATGCTCTCAGCTTTCCTCATTAAATAGACTCTCAATTCCCATTTTCGGCATCTGCTCCAATTTCAATGGATTTTTTTTGGAGTACAACTGACCAGCTCCCCTGCAGGCATATTGCTGTGACCTTGGACTCTGGTCAATACACCGTTACCCCTGTTAAAGCTACCAACCCTTCATTCACAACTGTCCATTTCACTCAGGTCTTGTACTACATCATTCTAATCATCCTTCGCAAAATTCACTGGGTTTTTTCCTTATTTGCTGTACAAATATTGTTAATACAAATGTCTGTTAAAAGTACTCCCAAATCCACTCCTTTATTACCTTACTACCTACCCTATCACCTTTCCTCCAGCCCCATGCATTCCCTTGACAATAGCACATTGTTGCCCCCCTTTCTTCTAGATCCTCACTTACTGTAAGATAATTGTATTAGCCTGCTACTGGGCTACATGGGAAATTACCAGTTATGTTACTGGAGCTGTACAAAGAGTGACAGCTACCAAATTGTTTTTCTTGCCAAAGAACAGTAGTGAGTTTCTCCACTGTGAATGATATATTACCAACACACATAATATTTTTTTCATTTATCTCCATCTTTCCTATTAGTGTTTCTTCAACATCTGTACTAAATCTTTGCATCCTGCCAAGGTCAACTAATGGTTGGTAATGGATGGCTTCATGATTCCTCTGTTGGTTAAACAGGTCCTATACTGCCGGAACTCAAAATGTCCCTCAGACATTTTCAGAGGTTCCAGGCCTTGGTCAGAAGCATTTTAGACCCTGGCAAGCAGCTGAAAACAGCTGTGATTTTGAGTTTGAGCCATGGAATGAGTTACCAACTTTGAAGGTGGAACAAGCGGTCACAGACGGTTAGATGGTATAGTAAAAGTAGTTACAAATTAGAGGGGAAAATTTTTTAGTGTTGTACAGGGGGGTTTTAACACCTGTACAGGGGGGTTTTACTTTGTACAGGGGGGTCAGGAATTCTAAGATGGAGGAAAGTGGGCCTGATCCTGTTCTTCCTCCTTCTTCTTCCTTACCTCCATGTTCTTGGTGATGTTGGCACTCACAGATTGGTTTAGAGTAGAAAAGCACATTGTAACATAGGTAGTAGGTATTGGGGAAAATCTGTAAACATATAACACGTAATATATCATATAAAAGATAGCAGCAGCCCTGGGCGGGGAGAGACGACGGAGACACCGGACAGTGAAGGTGTCAGGAGTGTGTGTGTTTCTGCCTGGGCAGCTGACCAAGGCAGCGCAGCGGGCGAAGACAATCTTTTAGATAACTAGCAATAAACTGCCTTGAGACCGAACTACAAGAGGCTGCGGAGTTTTTCTTTGGAAGTAAAGGTTGGAGGAGAGACTTTACCACCACACGAGAGCCCCGAATCAATCCCGGGGTTCTCACACTATACGTGCTGTTCTCCAACAACACAGAACTTGCTAATTTGCTCACTGTATGGAGTGAGCAAATTAGACATCACTAGGGGAGTTACAGTTTCATTTGATAACTTTTATAATCCCAGTTAAACTGAGTAATAAAATTTAGTTTTCATCCAAACCCAGAATGTGGTAATCTGTTCTCCTTCACTTAGTTCCATTACTCTGTTTCAGAGCCACATTGTGTAATCTCTCTGCTACTAAATACTGAGCAAAAATACTAATTTTGTTTTTCACTAGATTTAGATTACCTTTAGTATCCTTAATGATCCTTCCCTTAAATAAAACAAAACCTCACACCTCTTTCTTTGTTCTTTCTTACTTACGTAGCTAAAGGGGTTTTACCATTGTTACAGCAGTAGTTGGTTTCTTTTGTAAGATCCTAGTTACCTACATTTTTAGAAATGTGACCTTTTTCCTCATGCTTTCTGAAACAACATGTTTTTTGTTTTTTTTTTAAGAGGCAAATCAGAACTTGACAGCCAAGAAGAATTCAAAAGATAAGATCATCCAGGCACGGATGAGTGGACCTGTTCCTCTTTCTGTCTCTCCTTCCTCCTAGACTCAAAATGTAGAAATTATGGGAAGAGCAATGCTAATGGTGCTAATGTACACCCCGCAGAGGCAGATGAAGCCCTGCACTGACTGGGAGGAGCTGGGATGGATGTGCTGCACAGCCTTGTACCCATGACTCCATGTGTGAGCAAGATTGCAATAGGCAATGGTAATAAGGGGCCATGACTCCCTTGGTCACCACTGCTCTTCAGTAAAAATACACCAGCTCCCCATGCTGTTTCCACAAGGATAAAAAAGGGATCTGCTGTACCTGAAAGGGGGAGGTGGGGGAGGAAGCAGGGGGAAAGAGAAGAGTGTTGTTCAGCCATTTCACACACCTGGCACCATGATCCACATACCAACACTGTGCTGAGGGAAGCTGTACTTGTGCTAGTTTTGATTCCTTAGCAAGGTAACAGAGGCATGAATAACAGTGTAAACACTTCTCTACATGGTCTGAAACTGCAGCAGAGGACTTTCAAGTTTGACACAGGAAATAATTTGATTGAGGGAACAACAGCAGAGATGGCTGCCTGTGGAGGAACCCCTTCTTGGTGGTGTATTTTAAAACCTGCTCAAGCAAACATGTCAGAACAGCCCTGACCTCTTGCAGATGAAACATGGGTGAGAAATTTGTTTGTCCTCTAGGATGGTGCTGTATTGCTAATTCGGAAGGCTGGTGACTACCCAGATGACAGGCAGTGGATGGCACATCCTGTGTTAGAGATTATTTTGCCGTTTCGCTACTATAATTATCAAGGCTGTACTACCTTGAGCACTACTTGCTGTATTGTGCTTTCAGTGTCAGGGCAGAGATAGTGCCTCATTTAAAGTCAGCAAGATCTTTCACTAGATAGGAGCAGTACAGTCCTTGATGTTTTTTTGTCTCGTTTTTCTCTCATTCCCTTGTTTCCCATTGTTTCTCTTCTCCCTTCTTGTACTGTTGTAGTTTGTTTGATCCTGTAAAAGCTGTAAAGCTGCTTTGCCTGAAGGTGTTGTTCCCCACTTTGTCCCGATTCAGCAAAAGCCACTGAAGACAGAACCCAAACCTATGGACTAGTGAGTACACTCTGAAGATCACAAGCCTCCATAAACCAACCTTGAAGAAACAGGACTGAGATCACTCCATGCATGACAGCAACATGTCCATAATTTCTGGTGCATCCTAGACCTGAGTCTTTCACCTATCCTAACCTCAAGGTAGTGACTAGGGCTGCTTTTTAAGCTCCTGACATTGAATCATTCAAAGAATATCAGAAGAAATAAGGTGTCCAGCTTGCAACACCTTCCTTAGGCAAAAGAATCCTCTTGTCCAACATTTGTTTTGTTGCTCCTTTTTATTGATACTGGCCAGCCACAGCTATTCTAACATCTTTCACCTCTGTTCATCATGCTTCAGGAGGATTACATTTGTTTTCTACTAACTTGTCAGGTTTGGAAATAACTCCTTTTAGAATTGAACATTTGGCAAATGGTTATAAAGGGTACATTTTAACAGCAGCAAACTCTCAATTTCCATCATAGATGATAAGGACTCTATGAACATTTACAGGCATCTTTGCATGATTTCAGCATTAGTTGTATTGCTCAGGATGTGCAAATCAAAAACCACTGACAATAAGGAGATAAGGAACATAAACATTTTATTGGAACAAAATCCATTCTTTAAAAACAAGCTGAAGTGCAAGAACTGCTGTTCAGGCTTATCATTTATTAGCAGGCAGTCATCAGAACAGAAGAGCAGCAGTCTTCACGACACATTTTTTCTGCTACATAATGAAAGACGAGAAAAGAAGACAACTATATTAGAGAAACATTTTTTGTGATTGAATAGCAAAGTGTCTTCTCAGATTCACAGGAATCTCTGAGATCTTAAATAGCAAAATTATACAATAATAGAGATCAGTTATTTACAGCAGCCAGAGAAATTTGTTGCTATGATAACAATATAATAAAATCTCACACAGACTAGTTGGCTCTCATGTTGCATTACTGAACACCGAACTGAAATTGATCCAAAGCCTGCAAGTCCTTTGCAATGCAAAGAACCTAATTAAAATGCAAAACCTAATTCTGCAGATTTTATTTTATAATATCATATTTTTTACAAGCAGCAACCCCCCATAGCTTATTAGACATAAACAGCTTTAAATAGTTTAGTAGCAGAATATATTCTTACACAGTGGTGGAGGTAAAAAGAAACTAGGAAGGGCAGATAAAGGGAGGTGAAGAGTGAAATAGGAAATCCTTTCTTATAGGCTACTATAGGCCTATGGTAGTAATAAAGGAGTAAAACGTTTGCTGCAGAGCACAAAGGATACACCATAGGCAGAGTACGGCCTGAAGAGATGACCAGAGAAAAAGCAAAAGTTTTGTATGAAAGTATGAAAGACTATATTTATGCTCAATAAAAGTATGAGCCCTGATTTGCAGAAGGCATAAACTACTCCATTTCCACTGATCTGCTGTCCTATTTGACACTAGCTGAGCAATTGCCACACCTTGTTTTCCCACACACTGCTTTTAAATAAAGCAGTGCACAGCCCTGTTCTCCATTATGTATCACATCAGGATCCATTCCTGAAGCTCTTGCTTCTCTCAGTTATTTTCAGCTGGATCTCTACAATCAGAAATAAAATGAGATTAATGCCAGCTGCTACAATGGTTTCCCAGAATTTAGAAAGCACTTTAGCATGGGTGCTGAAGTCATATACTCATCATCCTGTCACCACAGAGCAAAGCCTGGATGGAGCTGCTGCTTGCACATACATGAAGCCCTTGTGCATGAAAAGAAATGAGCACTATTATACTGTAATAAGAATGATTGCAGATGCTGAAAGAACCATTGAACATGTCACAGCTAGAGCTATGGAGGTTCCTGATGGGTGCTCACACTCATTCCACAAGCCACATAACGTTGCATCATGGTGTTGTTCCCACAGAGTGTAGTGGGAAGGGCAGCTGCATGCTAGTCCTCAGAAGGTTGGCTCTGTGATATATGATGCTCCTCCCCACCTTGTTAGTCAGGTTAATTTACAACACATGATGGGAATCAAGCAGCAAAATGCATAGGAAAGTACAGCATCACAAATTATTTATGTATGGATTCTGTTTTTTAGTTCTGACTGAAAATGTAACAGATACTTTATTTTACTATTAAAAAAATTGGCACTAATCTCATGATGAGCAGAGTATCAGATGCTGCAGGAGGATGTGAAGAGGATTGGAGAGAAAGAAAGGCCATAAGAGAAGGGTTCATGATTTCCTCTTGGGTAACGAATGAATAGGCCATTGATCTGATAAGCAAAAACTTTCATTATTTACATGAAGAAACTGATTTCTAAGTAAGAATCAGGCTTTGTTTAGACATTAGTTGGATTTTACCTGCATCACAGAAAGGAAAAGGACAGCTTTCAGCTTGCTGCAGAGCTGTATATTTGCAAATGCTGCAGAGGGCAGGTTACAGGCGTGCTTAGCTGGGCTGGTGAAGTAAGGATGAGGGCTCAGTGCTTTCAGTAGCATTTAGACATTTTCTGGATGAAAGCACAATTGTAACTGTGATTTCAGCAGGCAAAACTCCTGTTTCATACTGCTGGAGATGAGAGATGTGAATATTTTATTGCTTAAAACTTATGTTACAAGTTGATGCTTCACTCAGCCCAACTTTTTTCCTCTTACTTCATCCATGATTCCCATTTGGGCTGTGGGAGCTCTACATGCATCAAAGGTAAAAGAGCAAAATGAAAAAACACTCCCTGAAAAGAAGTCTGAAAGTCTTTTGAACTCTACCCCACCTGCTAAGAACAAAAGAAGGCCTTGTATGCTTGAAACTAAACATACCACATTGCAACAAATATGAAGAACGGTGAACATGAAAGAAGTGCTCCAGAAAACAGGCTGTTAAACACAGCAGCGTGTAATGATGCAAATCAAACCGTGCAATGATGCAAAAGGGAAGAGATGCCAACCCAGCAACCCACAAACCCACAGCTCCAGAAGAAGGGAAGAACCTGCTCTTGTAAGGTACCAGAGAGCACCTTCTCTCCTTACCTGTAGGCCTTGAGCAGGTACCCATTGGTATGATCCTTTTAAATTTTCAGAATTTTGTTTCAAGAAGAGTAGAAGGTGTAAGAAAACAGAAACCACACACACTCATATTAAAGGCTTAACTCTGATCTTTGTTATGGGAATGCCATTACTTGTGGTGATGCAACCAGTCTCCACTAAAGGTAGGAAACCGTTCTAGATGAAAACACGTTATTTGAAGTATTTACTCAGCGGCAACAGATGTTTTAAAAAGGTTCTGCATTACCTTTTCAGGCACTGCAATACAGCACAAAAGACCCATTAAATAATACATGATGCAAAAAGTGATTTTTTAAATCATCACAGAAGAGGATATTTTATAGATTACTCTAATTTTTAAGTGACTGGTTATATTCACTTCCAGAGCAAATATAAGGTACTTCTTGTCAGACAGGTTGCTTGGAATTTCTGCTTTGTCATCAGCTTAATTTATGAAAATAAATAAAATGAAGCAAGTATTAATCCAAATTCACGTCCTGTGACAAGATGACAGACATGTCCCATTTATTCACACATATATTGCTACAAACAACTGTAAACTGAAGCCAGTGCCAGGACAGATGTCACCTATATTTAATCTTACATACTGAATATGTATTTTGATAGCAATAAAATTACCCAATGCATAAAACTAAAGATCAATAAGTCTGCACAGTGCCCAGTTATTGAATTAATGCTTTATGGTCCGTCTGACCTACAATTACTGGCAAAAAGGAATGGCATAGTTGGGAATAAATATTTCATGGGATAATGAGGTCTCCTGTGCCTGTATTTTTACACAGTGCTGCGTGCAGCGTTTGGCCGGATTGCAGGCTTTCTGCCGGCTCGCTCTACAACGATGTTTCAGTATGCAGTATCAATTCCTGAAGGCGATGACTATATCGACAGCACGTACCATTTATTTATGAATAGAAAAGATTTATCCTCAATGATTGTACGGTGCCGTCTCATCTGGAGCTCTTCTCGTCAGTTAAAGTGGAGGTGTAATAAGACAACGGGCTAAATTTACGGTCACACAGTGCCCTGGCATTCAGCCGCCCCCCCATCCAAGACTGGATCCGAGACCCAAGCGCGCGATTCACACGGGATCCAGCGGCTGCTCCTCCCCAGGTGGGATGTGATCCCACCCTCACCTCCAGCCGCCACCGCCGATCGCTGAGGGCCTTCCCCACCCACCGCCGCCCCCTCCAGGGCTGTGAGGTTTTCCGATGCCTTTCGGGGGGGGCTTGGGGCTGTTTTTCTAGCACGTTTTGGCTTGTCGGACCGGGCTCGCCGTCGGCACACCAGTGAGCGCGGCCAGGCCAACATTACAGCCCGGGGGCGGGCCGAGGGAAGGAGACCACCCCCGTTCTCCCCGGGGAGCTGCCTCCTCTCGCCGGCGGAGGGGCGGTCGCCGCCGCCTGCGCCGTCCCCGCCGGGCGGTAGCCGAGGATCGCGTCCCTCCCTCCCGCCGGGGCTGGCCGGGGACGGGCGCGCTGGGCGCGGGAGCTGCGGGCGGATGAGCGCGGCCCGGCGGCGGCTGCGGATGAGCCGGGCGAAGGAGCTGGTGCCGTACTGCCTGCTCCTGGGGCTGTCCGTGCCCCTCCTGCTGCTGCTGCCGCTCCTCTGAGATGCGCCGGGTGGCGGCTCGCCCCCGCCGCGGGGGGACGGGCGGGAGGAGCCGGCGGCAGCCCCGCTCCGCCGCCCGGCGTGCGGCCGGCGGCAGCAGCAGCCCGAGGCACTGACGCCCCGGCGGGGGAGGATGAGGCGCTGGAAGCAGCTTTGCAGCCGTGCCACCCAGCCTGCGCCGGCGGGCGGGCTGCCGCTTCCCGCGGGGGGGCCCGGCCGCAGCCCCGGCCGCGCTCTGCCCCTGTACAGGCTGTGATGCCGCCGTGCTCGCCGCTCCCCCGCCTCGGCTGACGGGCACCCGAGCAGAGCCGCGGCGTCGCAGCTTTCTCTTTCGCCTTCCAAAGTTGGGCTTCGGTGGCGCGGGGTCGGGGCGGCGGCGCCTCCGCCCTGGAGCGGCCCCGATGGGCCCGCGCCCGCAGACCCTGTCACCGCAGCCGCCCTCCCGACCCAGCCCAGCGCCCGCGGGACGGCAGCTGTAGCCGGGGGCCGCTGTAGCCGGGGGCGGCCGCGGCGCTCGCGTTGCTGCAAAGCCCCGCTCTGCGGGGCGGAGTGTGTCCCCGCCGGCTCGCCGTGCGGGGAGGCGGGCCGGGGGCCGGCTGAGATGGGAGAGAGCATGTCCAAGAGGCTGAAGCTGCAGCTGGGCGGTGAAGCGGAGATGGAGGAGCGGGCTTTCGCCAACCCCTACCCCGACTACCAGCCCCAGGGAGCCGTGGCAGCCCCCAGCGCGGCGGACGCCCACCGGGACAGGGCGCTGCAGCCGCCGGCGGAGGAGGAGTCCCTCCCTTTCGGCGCCGATGGGAAGGTGAGTCCCGGGCGGCGGGCAGGCGCCGCGTCCCGGACCCCGGGCCCGGCCCGACCCTCGGGTCGCTGTCTGCCCGCGGCCCCGCGGCGCTGGGTTCCGCCCCGGGGCGGCTGCGGCGGGCCGCGGGCCCGGCGGCGGGGGCGTGGGGCCGCCCGCGGCCTGCGCGCCGGCCGGGCTCGGGGCGGCTGCCGCGGCCTCGGGGGCGCCCGAGGAGAGGGAGCGGCGGGGTGAACTGAGGGAAGGAGTGGGAGGGAGCTCGGCCCGGCCGCACGGCTCGTAGTCGGCGGCTACTGCTCTGAATTCAGGCTGTTTGTTTTACTCCGGTACGGGAATGCACGAGGTGCCCCGGCAGGAACGCTGTATAGCAAAACAGCTGTAGCTGCTGTTACCACCGTGGTTTGATGTCTCAGAAGTTGTCAGCACAAGTTGCCCGAGTTTCACCAGAGAAAATGCATAAGGGAATGGAAAAAATGGGCGCCCATCTAGAAAAGGAGAGTTAATTCTCGGGTAAGAGCAGCGCTCACTCAGGAGGTGAAGCTAGACTGTTTTCACGTGTTTATTTACTGACACGTGCACTTTTATAGGTTCAGGTGTACCACGATAGATACTTGGCAGTCTGTCATGCCCGCAGAAGGTCTGCCTGGTAGGGTTGGTCACACAAGGTTTGCAGTCTTTCTGCTCCGCTTATCTCCTTGTTGCCACGTGGTGCTGTTCGGTATACTATGAGTGTCTCAGGTTTTGAGAAGCCCCTCTGGCCTGGCCTGTTACCACGCAGGCTGGATTAATTTGAAGAAGGAATGCCGGAATACAGACTTCTGTCACTTAGCCCCTGTGTGGCCTCATCCTTCAATACTGTGCAGCTTTGTCATCTTTTGCATAGAAAGCACTGCATGGTGACACTGCTACAAGCACAAATACATTGAGGGTGGGAAGTTAGCTTTCTAAATCTCTTGACTGTATGCTGGGATGAATTAAGGAAAGCTGTTGATATCGGCTCTGTATTTTTCTGCTTGTGGCACCATGGAATTACCTTGATTTACTGATAGAGTGAGACAAGGATGGTGATGCCCAAGTGGGAGGGACATTGCTCTGACCTTTGTAAGTGTCTGCAGGACACCATGAGCTCACCATTGGTCAAGGCAGTGGAAGGTTTCACCAGGTTGTTATGACTGAGGTTTATGAAGTTGTTTGTGGCTAGGCAGAGTGCACAAAAGAGAATGCTTTGGGGCTTCAGTGTCTAACTGCTGCAGTTAATTGCAGCTGTCAAAAGCAGAACATTTGAGAAGGTTTAAAAAGCAACAGTAGGTTCAAAAGTGAAATCTGCTTTGTTTTGTACACAGCTTCCTGGCAGTATGCTGAGTGTTGGTAAACCTATTATTTTTTTCCTTGTGGAAGAGAACTGTTATTTCCTTGTTCTTTTGTATCTGGCTTAGTCTATAAAAATAATCGAAGTATAATGCGTTCAAGTATAAAGGTAGAGAGGAGATGGCAGAACTGCTATAGCTATATGTTGTTGTTAAATTGGTAAAAAACATACCAAGCCTCTTGTAGGCCAGTCATCTTTGTGTACCTGCTTTAAATTCCACACTTCACGTCCATATTTTAAAAGAGAAAATACTCCTTCATTTACCGCTGATCTGGATAGACTAAAGCTAGCCGTTAGATAACCAGAAGAATGGCAAGATATCAAAAGAAGATGAACATCCTTAAAAGTTACGTTTTAGAGTATGCTAGCTCTATTGCAGAACAGTTCAACTCTAATTTACTTCAGATTTGATTCTTGAATGAATCTAAATTGAGAGACATTGTTCTGTGGCAGATCTGAAATGAGTTAGTCAAGAATTTCTGGCCCTGTGTTCACATTAGGAATGCCTATTATGCTGTCCTATGCATGAGAATGGTGTTTTATAGTGCATGCAAATGTTTTTTCCCAGCATCAATGGTAGCTGGCATTCCTTTTTAGGGAGTGGCAGTCAGCAGTTATTTGTGCCAGGGTGTTTTCAAAAAATATGTTAGAACACCTGAGTAGTCTTGTATTTGCTAAAAGGTGGTGTCTGGGCTCTGTTCAGGAGGATGAAGTGCCTCTGGAAAAAAAACAAACATGTAACTACAGCAATTCTGTGCATGTCATCGGAGAAGGCAGAAGCAAGTGTACATTTTCTTTTGGTTTTGCATCTGCAAAATCTGAGGAGTCATTTTATGTATTTCTGGGCTAGAATATGGCTGTGAGTATATTTATGTGTATTTATATTCTTTGAAGTATTTGCATGCTATCACTCCTCGTACTATCCTTTTGTGAGATTTCATGATGGGTGCTTTTTTTATGATTTACAGTTTATGTCTTAGTGTTTTATTTTTACATTTAATGACTCCCATTCCATCAGTGAAATGTCTTTGCTTGCCTAAAGGCCCAGTGAAGACAAAAAGACTTCACACAGGGTAGGAAGTCTGTTCTGTAAACTTCTGTACAGAAGCACACAGGTTTCCTAAAAATGAGAGCATCTTTCAGAAGGCCTCAGTGCAGTGCATAATTCCTTCCTCCCATCTGCTGCTGAGTGGAGCGAGGAGCGCTGAGTGACTCACGTAATGACAGCCTGAGGTGTGCGGGGCTGTGCTGTTGTCATGGAAGGCAATGCATTATTAATCCATTTGATTTCTTAGTCTGTCATGATTGCCAAATAAAATTCACCTGGTTGATAAAAGAACAAGAAGATCTTCAAGGCATTGTATGAAAGGTGAGACAATTGGGACAAAATTCTGCATATGGAAGTGTGTGTGGGTAAAATATTGTTCAGAAATCTTGAAGGTATGGAAGTAGGAGAAGCAGAATTTGAGGTTGCTGATTTGCTTTCTTATAAATAGTCACAGTAAACACTGCAGCTATCTGTGTGGGCTCTGCTCATGTAGTTCAAATTCACTGTTTTCATAACTAGATTTGAACTTAAATTGTTTCTGTAACTTGTCTGAGAAAGCCAAGGTAATAATTCATCAGACAGCATTAATTCTAGATTAAAAAAACCCCATAATTTTAAATGTAAACCTTTGTTTAATAAGTGATGCCTAACATAGGGGCCCCATAGAGATACCTTAGCCTAAAAAGGTACCTATAGATATTATCTCAAAGTGGTCGGTCAAAAGTTTTCAAAATGGAAATGTAGGTGGTTGAGGGAGGCAGAGAAATGAATAGACTCATAACAAAGAACATTCCCTAGTTCTTACTTCCCTAGTGTAGTAGAGAGTTAGAAAGCTCTAGAAGATTTCCTGGGAAGGAAAAGGGTTAGGAGAGCTTGCTGCTGAGGGGTGGTGATGGCTTGTTCAAGGATCTGTTGCCCTAGTCCTCAGAGCCACCACAGCCGTGTGGCTGCATTTATAGTATAGGCAGGTGTGATTTGGGATTCTTCACACTGACTGCAGGCCAGTGAAGAAGGGAAGGAAAGGCAGCCTGATATTATCTGCTCAACCAGGGGAAGGTGGAAGCCTAGACAATGACCTACATTTTGTGGTTGTGCCAGAAAAAAGAAGCACCCTTGTCACCAAGAAATTGACACAATCCCAGCCCTTACTTTGAGATTGTCTGAATTTGTTGTGGAATTACAAGACAGAAGCAAAATTAGATTCAAACTTCATGGATTGGTCACTAGAAAACCCAAACTTTAACTTCTTTTTTAGGCAAATTCTTTCTTAATATGTTTTTTCTGACTTGTCATGGTGTTCTAAGAATATTAGAAAAAAGTGGTACGTTCTGAGAAATGTATACAATGCTTTATTAGGCTTTGCAAGGGACTTCTTACAGGAAACCTATTCAAAGATAAGGGTGCTCATTGACAAATACATATTAATGGTGATATAGAATATTTACTTAGATTTATAATTTGGGTGATTTAGTAGTGTTTAGTTTGCTAATGCTTTCTCAATCTCCTGTTACTTCTGATAATTCCTTTATGTGGCTTTCTTTTTTCTCCTGTAAAATATATATAAATATATAGATCTTTGTTATAGCCTCACTTGTCTTCTCCCTTTGTTTTTTGTGGTTTTTTGTTTGGTTTTTTATTTTTTGTTTTGTTTTTAAAAATTTTTTGGGGTTGTCTCAATGGGCATTTTATTTATCTCACTGGGGACAGCAATTTCTCTGTGTTCTGGGGCTGACTCAGCAACAACTTGTTCTAGTGGGAATTATACAACTTACTGCACTGGAGGCAAAATTCAGCTTCCAAAGCCACTAAATAATTCTTCCCACTTTTTTCCAGAGATGTGGGATGAGGTATCTACATTTCTTGAACTTGTTATTTTTTTGACCATTTTCTGGCTCCCCAGTTCAGGCATGTGCTGTTTTCATAGGGGACTCGGAAACAAACAAGGTTTGCAGTATTCTCTCTGATACTTCAAAAGGAAAGTTTGTTTTGCTTTTTGAGAGTCTTGGTGAAAACTGAGCCTGAAAATCAGTCTGTTGCTCTTCATTGTCCCTCACTAACTCCTGGCAGTTGTACACAGCCCAAAAGGAAGAACTGCTGCTTCTTTCCTACAGCGCAGGTCAGCACTGAACACTGTTTAGGGCTTTTCTGATGCTTTTGTAGTGAAAGCCTCTCCTGCTATTCACGAGGTGACCACAGAGTTAAGCCTGTTTGGTTTTAGTCAACCAGTTCTGAATGAAAATACTTCGTAATATCAAACCCCCAAGTTCTGATGAAATTGTTGCAAATCCACCCATTCTTCATCAGTTTCTAGTTTTATCTTGCAAACCTGCATGTTAATGAGTTGTTTCTCCAGCTAGTTGTGTGGGCAAGTGCAATAACACGTACTTGCTTCCTGGTGA